CCAGCCTCGTCTTCCTGCCCCGCAGCCCGCAGCCCCCGCGCTCCTCACCCCCCACCCCGCCTTCACTTCTTAGCAGGCCCCGAGTCACTGCCAGCCTCTGGGCCCCTCTGCGCGTGTCCGGCCGGGTCCCAGTGGTGTCCCTGCGCGTTCGCTGCACGCGCCTGTGTGCTGAGACCGCAGGTGGCCCCGTCCCGAGCTGCGTCACTGGCCCGCCCTCCCGACTCGGCCCCCGGCCCCCTGCGGGTGCCGTGCCTCCACCCGCTCTCTGCCGGGAACCTCCCTCGCCCAGCCCTGGCCTCACCCCCGAGCTCCCCTGCCGGAGCCGGACACGGCACCTGGCTCCCCGTCTGCTGGGGGGCAGAGAGGCGCGGGGTTTGGACTGGGGCGGGGGCCGGGTCGGCTCCTTGGCCGTGCTGGGAGGTTTTGAGGACCTCGGCCTCCTCCAACCCTGGTCTGTCCACTTCGGGCGGGTCTGGGCGCTTTCCTTACCGCCACTGCCGGGGTCCCTCCCGCGGAGATGTGCTGGACGTGGCCTCGAGCCCACGTGGGCCACTGTCCCCCCGTTTGACGGGGTCTTGCTCTTCCAGGGCCTGAGGACTTCGCCGAGGAGGTAGCGGAGCTGCTCGCCCGGCTGCAGGTCTCGTCCAGGCCGGAGAAGCTCACCAGGGTGAGTCACCGCTTGGCGATGTCCTTGCCTGGCTTGGGCGGGCTCAGTGGATGAAGAGCCTTGGTGGTCACTTCCTGGCAAGTGTGTCCTGCAGATGAGGGTGTGGTCTGTGCTCCAGCCTCCGCCAGCTGTAGCGCACACTGGTGCTCCGGTCTGCCACCCTCGCCGCCCCGGTCGCTGGTGCGTGTCGCTGGACTGGGCGTTTGTGTGGGGCCACAGCGTGTCCACTGAAAGCCGCCGCTCCAGCCCTCGGGCCGACGGGCCGGCCCGCTGCAGTCTGTCGGCCCCCACGGCTCTGAGGGGTCCCGGGGTGGCGGGACGGGGCCCTGCCCTTGGGGAGCTGGGGGCCAGCACGTCCCAGAGCCCCGGCTCGGGCAGGGCCACCTGGCCGTGTGCGTGCGAGGCGAGGCCCGCACCCTTGGGAACGAGGCCGCCTGTCGCCCGAGCCCAGAGCGGCAAGGGCCAGCTCCAGGACAGCGTGCAGGGAGGCCGCAGCCCAGCGCCTGCTCACGGCGCGCTCCAGCCGAGCGGCCGTCTGTGGGGCCGGGGCTCCAGGTTGGCTGGGGCTGGCTGCCCGGTGCACGAGAGCCCGCTGCCATGCCCTGTGGGCAGCGAGGGCAACTGCCAGCGCCACAGCTCCGTGAGGCTGTGCGTGGCACAGGCCGGGCACTGGCACGTCCCCTCCTCAGCCTGGAGCGCGTCAGTGAGCTTGTGGCGCTGGAGGCCTGTGTGCGGGCGTCACCTGCTGTCCGGGTCAGTTGGATGGGTGGCTCTGTGGGTATCGGGGGTCTCCAGAGTGGACCGTGAACGAAGCAAACACTCGGAGAAGCCTCGCGCCTCCCCGTGGCCACCGCCGTCCTCCGCTGCCGGCGGGCGGTGAGCGTTCTTGCCTCGTGACGGCCTCCGTGTGTGTTTGTGGAGACGCAGCCGGGTCCTTACCCCAGGTGACGCCGACACCCACGCCTGTGTGTGCTTTGCTCTGCGCGCTTAACCTTGAACGTGTTGCTTGTCAATCTATCATAGGTTATTTTTGTTGTATTTGAAAAAAAGATTTATTCACGCTCGCAGAACTGGGGTGCAGACCAGAGGTGTGGGGCGGTGAGAGGACCCCCTAGAGTCAGAGCAGGGAGCAGCACAGGCGGACCGCCGAAGCCCACTGCTGAGGGGCAGCGGGGAGACAGGAGGGGTCCGCGTGCCCCGTGGTCGCCTCTGGGCCGGGGCCTGACCTCCCCCGAGGCGGCTGCGGCAGCCTGCCTGCTGCTCTAACCTGCCGCGCCAGGGAGGCCCGAAAACCCCGAGGCAAGTCACGCCCTGGGTCTTCACTGCTTCCGTGGCTTCGGAGGAATCGCAGCGGGGCTCCCGGCTGCTGGGCCACTGGCCCGGCGGCCAGGCTCTTTGTGGCCTGGGCTCCCGCAGGCCCCGCCCACCCCAAACGGCGCCGCC